TCTGACAGAGGCGGAGAGTTCTCTTCTCGCCTTCTGCGGGACTACTGTCGTGCACGGGGGATTCGCCAGACCTTCACGCTTCCGGACTCACCACAGCAAAATGGGATTGCTGAGCGCCGCATTGGCATGGTCATGGATGTCGCTCGTACGTCCATGATGCATGCGGCTGCCCCCCATTTTCTGTGGCCGTTTGCGGTGAGGTACGCGGCGCATCAGCTCAACCTTCACCCCCGGGTCTCTCGGCCTGCGATGTCCCCAGCCTTGCTGTGGACGGGGAAGGTTGGCGATGCGTCTGTGTTCCGTGTCTGGGGATCTCGGGCGTTTGTCCGCGACTTGTCTGCGGACAAGCTGTCCCCTCGTGCTGCTCCCTGTGTCTTCCTTGGCTTCCCCACTGACGCCCCAGGGTGGCAGTTTTACCACCCCTCCTCTCGTCGTGTTCTGTCCTCCCAGGACGTCACGTTCGACGAGTCAGTCCCCTTCTACCGTCTCTTCCCCTACCGCACTCCTTCCCTCCCCCCTCCCCCGGACTTCCTTGTGCCGGTTCCCCCCCCGGTAGACCTCCTCCCCCCTCAGGTTCCTGCCCCCTCAGGTGTGTCCCAGGTAGACGCCGTTGACCCGGTGGAGGTTACTGGTGACTCTGGTGCTGCTGCGGGTGCTGAGCCTGGGGGTGCTGACTCTGGGGGTGCTGTGCGCGGGGGTGCTGAGCCTGGGGGTGCTACTGCTGGGGGTACTGGGCCTGAGGGTGCTACTGCGGAGGGTGCGGAGCCTGGGGGTGCTGAGCCTGGGGGTGCTGTGCCTGGAGGTGCTGGGTCTGGGGGTGCTGGGTCGGGAGCTGCTGAGCCTGGGGGTGCTGCGTCTGGAGCTGCTGAGCCTGGGTTTTCTCCTGCTGCTGCGTCTCGCCGGGAGCCCCTCTCTCCACAGGAGCTGCGCGAGTGGTTCGCTCGCCGCTGGAGGCGTGCTGCTGAGTCTGGAGGTGCTGCTGGAGCTGGAGCTGGAGCTTCTTCGACCGTCGAGGGTGCGGGTGCTGCCGGTCCCGGAGCTGCTGGACCTGCGGGTCCTCCTGGAGCTGGAGCTGCTGAGGGCGTTGGTGCTGAGCCTACTGCTGTTGGTCCTACCGCTGGAGGTGTGGGTGGCGCTGGTGCTGTCGCTGAGGGTGGTGGTGCTGTCCCTGCTGAGTCTGGAGCTGCCGCGCGGCCTCGGCCGTACTTCGTTCCGCTCCTACAGCAGGTTCTTGGTCTTTCTCCTCTAGTAGAGGGTCCACCGCCTGTCCAGTCGCAGTCCCTGCTGGAGCCTTCCTCTCCACTGCCTGCTCCCTCTCCTTACACTGGTCCTACTGGAGGTCTTGCTGAGCGTCGTGAGCCTGCGTCTCGTCCCGCGTCGCCTGTTCGTGCTGCTCGCGCTAGTGGTCGCAGTTCGCGTCAGCGTCCTCCTCCTGTCCTTGGCACGCACCGGATGTCTTTGCGTCCGTCCACTGCTCCTCTGCGTGCCCCTTTGCCTTCTCCTCCTGAGTCCTCTCTTCCTGCGCTTGCCGACCCGGAGTCGGACTCTCTTCGTGCTGCCAGTCCTACTGTCACGCGTCTGCTTGCTACTGTCGTCACTGACCCCTCTTTTGAGTCCACTGCTGCGTCTGCTCTAGTCGCTGAGCTCGTCGACTTTGCTGCTCGCTGTCGTCTCGACTACGCTGCAAGTCTTGTTGCTGAGTCTGCGCCTGTCTGTCCTCCGTCCGTCGGGGGTGAGTGTGCTCTTGGCACGGACGTCCTAGAGGACAGGCAGGAGGAGTTACAGTGTCTAGCGGCTGCTTCACCTCATCTCGCGTCTGTACTGCTTGCCCCTGAGGGAGACCCGGATGCACTAGACATCCCGATTCCGCGTTCTTACGCGGAGGCCGTAGAGGGTCCCTACTCCTCTCAGTGGCAGGCAGCTATGGATGCAGAGATGGCTTCCTGGAAGTCCACAGGCACCTACGTTGACGCGGTTCCCCCTCCTGGGGCGAACATCGTCAGTGGCATGTGGATCTTCAGGGTGAAGCGACCGCCGGGCTCTCCACCTGTCTTCAAGGCACGGTACGTTGCTCGTGGCTTTAGTCAGCGGCAGGGAGTTGACTACTTTCAGACCTTCTCTCCCACCCCGAAGATGACTACTCTTCGGGTGCTGCTGCACATAGCCGCTCAGCGCGACTACGAGCTTCACTCTCTCGACTTCAGCACTGCGTTCTTGCAGGGTAGCCTGCACGAGGAGATCTGGCTTCGCCGTCCACCTGGCTTCACTGGGACTTTCCCTCCTGGCACCCAGTGGAGCCTCCAACAGCCAGTCTACGGTCTCCGCCAGGCACCGCGTGAGTGGCACGACACACTGAGGACTACGCTTGCGGCTCTTGGGTTTGCTCCTTCTACTGCTGACCCGTCGCTGTTTCTTCGCACCGACACTTCCCTGCCGCCGTTTTACATCCTCGTGTATGTCGACGACTTGGTCTTTGCCACAGCGGACACCTCTGGACTCGCCTACGTGAAGTCCAAGCTGCTGAAGAGACACACGTGCACAGACCTGGGTGAACTGCGCAGCTACCTTGGCTTGCAGATCACTCGGGACAGAGCACGCCGCACCATTACCTTGACTCAGTCACACATGGTGCAGCAGGTCCTTCAGCGCTTCGGCTTCACGTACTCCTCGCCTCAGGCCACTCCTCTGCCTACTCGCCACTCACTCTCAGCTCTGCCTTCGGATGAGTCCGTAGAGTCGAGTGGTCCGTATGCAGAGCTTGTTGGCTGCCTCATGTACCTGATGACCTGCACACGACCTGACCTTGCATACCCTCTGAGCATTCTTGCACGCTATGTTGCTCCTGGGAGACACAGACCGGAGCACATGGCTGTCAGAATCCCAACCACTAGACCATTGGGATAAAAGGGCTTGTTTCAGTAGCGGGTCAGTGCGCCCATAACCCCCCAGGCAAACGCGCCTGTAACCCCCCCTAGGATCGATCGGGGATCTCACAGTGTAGCTCTACTGACACCCCCCCACACTGGGAGGCCCAGGACTGAGCACAGTGGCAACGGCCAACATGTGCATACACCGGGATTCGAACCCGAGACCGCTCTGATACCATGTCAGAATCCCAACCACTAGACCATTGGGATAAAAGGGCTTGTTTCAGTAGCGGGTCAGTGCGCCCATAACCCCCCAGGCAAACGCGCCTGTAACCCCCCCTAGGATCGATCGGGGATCTCACAGTGTAGCTCTACTGACAATGGCTGCAGCGAAGAGGGTATTGCGCTACCTGTGCAGTACGTCGGGCATGGGGCTAGTGCTTGGAGGGCGGAGTCCAGTGGTCCTTACCGGCCACGCGGACGCTTCTTGGGCTGACGACCAGGCTACGCAGCGGTCGTCACAGGGTTACACCTTCAGCCTTGGTTCCGGCTCTGTCTCGTGGCGGTCTACTCGCTCGTCTTCGGTTCTCGGCTCCAGTTGTGAGGCTGAGATCTACGCCGGGGCCATGGCTGCACAGGAGCTTCGCTGGCTCACCTACCTGCTGACTGACCTTGGAGAGCCGCCTCGTTCTCCTCCAGTGCTGTACGTAGACAACAAGGCCATGCTGGCCTTGTGTCGAGAGCAGCGCTTGGAGCACAGAACGAAGCACATTGCTCTCCGCTACTTCCTTGCTCGTGAGCTGCAGCAGCGTGGTCAGTTGCGACTTGCGTACGTGGCCTCTGAGGCCAACACTGCTGATGTGTTCACCAAGGCACTCGCGCCTTGTGACCATCAGCGCTTTTGCACCCAGCTGGGTCTTGTGCCTGTCTTGCCTCACTTGCTCTCCTCTTGACTTCACTTGTACTGTGACATATATATATGCCTGCTCTTGCTTGTCTAGTTTTATATATATGTCTGTACTTCTGCATGTGAACTGGCCTCTGGCCCTACTCTTGTGCTCGGACTGTGTGGTGACTTTGTGATCCACCCTGAGCTTGCTTTGCTTTGCTTGACTGGTCTTGTGACCCCTTGTTCTCCCCCACTTTGCCTATGGGGGTGTGTCAGATTTACATGACATAGTTGCTGTAGGCTATAGTGGGGTAGCACATATGGGGTACAGGGTTTCTAGGGTTGTATTTGTACCCAATCTTTCCTTAGTCATTTCATTCCTGTTTTCCTTGCTTCACAGCTGCTTCCTCCCCGCTCCTGCCCTGTGCTGCCTCTGTTAGGGATTGGGGGTGGCGAGTATGGGGGTGACGGGAGTGTGTGCCGTCCCCTGCTCCTCCTCCTTCGTCTCCCACTGCTGCAACTGCCGCTGAGGAGGGTGGATGTGTTGGAGCCGTCGGAGTGGTACGAGGGGGGTGGCGTGTGAGCGAGTGCTAGGGGTACAGCAGGGGGTGTGTGAAAGGGGTGTGGGACGGTTGGGGGAGGTTGACCGAGGGTAGCTGTTGTGACGTCAGCAGGGCCAGTAGTCCGGGGGTTGAGTACTCCGGTAGCCCATCGAGCCTGCTGCTGCCAGTCGCACGTGGGTCAGTTGCTCCTGCTGCTGCTTAGCGCGGAGCCAGTTACTCCTGTGGTCCGGAGGTTGAGTGCTCCGATAGCCACCGTGCGCGCCGTTCCTGTTGCCCGTGTGTCTGCGGCTTCACCCGACGCCTCCTATCTCCACTCCTCCCACAGTCCCTCCTCTTGCCCTCTGTGACTGCCTCTAGCTTTGCTTGTATTTGTGAACCTACTACTCTGCCTGCTTGTTGTGCTGATTATATCCCACTTTGACTATGGGGGTGTGTCAGAATGTGTTGTTTGTCTAGCCTGCAGTGGGGTATTCTATAGCGAGTACAGCCCGAATTAGGGTTCGCTATATGTACTCAACTGCCTGCTAGTGAAAACCCCCTCTTTCCTGTTCTATCGTTTCTGCCTAGTGTTTTGACACTTCTATCCTCTTCCAAGAACATCGTCTGAATATCTTCTAGCGCACGTGCATCGGTCACATGCTCTTTTCTTGGCTTGTAAGCTGTAGCTGCCAAGGAAGGGCGTTACCCAAGTCTTCTATCCTCTTCCAGGAACATCGTCCGAATATCTTCTAGCACACGCGATACTCTAGGCACATTAGCTACGGATTCAGACGACCAGTTCCCTTTACCAAACACAACGTGGTAGGAGAGGGAGCAGGCGTTGGCGAGCAGGTGGAATACTGTCACTGGGCACTCGTCCGGTCGAAGTTCCAGCACTGTTGCTCCTTCCGGCATGAAGATCATGTTGGTGAGGGACGCCCCATGGCTTGCTACGAATAGGCGCGTGCGTCTGAAGAGTGCACGGGCTGAGAGAGAAGAGTGGAGGTGGGGGAGGGGGAGGGGGAGGGGGAAGGGTTAGGTGGGGTTGATGAAGTTAAAGGTGCATGATTGGAAAGAAGAGTTGGGTGTGACCCAAGGGGTGCAGGGTGGGAAGGGGAAGAGCAGAGGGAGTGAGGGAGGTGGGGGCTCTTCAGAAAGGTGACACGATTTGCAGGACCAGATAGACATGGTGTGTTAGGCGTTACAGATGGGCGTGCTAAGAGCTGCAGAACAGGTCAATTCTGTTCCGAGGCATCTCAAAACTCTAATGTTACTACGCACCACAAGCACCGAGCAAGGGGGCAGAAAAGCACCCACGAGACACACACCTTCGAGAATGGGGAGAAAGCCTTCGAATATAACCACTCTCTCATGCTTGAAAATCCGCATCACTTCCGCTTCCACCTCTTCATAGTTTACTAGAGAGCGCCGCTTCCCCTTTGGCCGCTTGGCCAGCAGAATAACCCAGTTACTGGGGAGTTCCCGCGCTTGGAGTGCGGTGAGAGGCGGTTGGGCACGGTAGGTCCAGTTGGGGTTGAAGAGGGGGAGGCCTGTGGGGTGCAGCAGGTGGTGACGACGCAGCAGACGCCAGAGGGGACGACTGGGATGGTCACAATCCTGGAACATGGGCTGGTGGGTGGGAGAGTGGGGGACGGAGTGTGGGAAAGGGCGGGAGGGAAGGAAAGAATGGAAGAGGAGGCTGGTTTGAAAGAGGCAGTTGGGTTGAACAGTCGCCAGAGGGGACGACTGGGGTGGTCACAATCCCGGAACATGGGCTGGTGGGCGGGTGGGGGTGTGGGGAGCGGGAGCGTGGGTAGGATGGGAGGGGAGGGAAGGATGGGAGAGAAGGAACCTGGTTTGCTGGTTGTACAGCATGGCGATGCGGCACAGCAGTTTTCTAGTTGTTTAAAAAAATCACAGGCTGGGTACAACATGGCAATGCGATGCGGCTCAGTGCCCCATATTCCAGGCGCGTCACGTAAACGGCCGTACGTTTGAGGCACTTGAAACACACAAGCATGCACACCTGGGAGATGGAAAGTCTCTGGCTGTTTATCAACGTACCTGGAAGAGCACGTGCGCATAAAAGAGGTAGTTCTCAACCATGGGGAGCAACTGACTTTTGAGTCGACTCAAAAGCGGGTGGCGCTAGGCTGCTTTTGAGCCGACTCACAAGTCACCTCCTTCTTTGTGAGGCCACCTGGAAGAGCACGTGCGCATGGAAGAGGTCGTTCTCCACCATGGGCAGCAAGCGGATGGCGCTTGGATTGATGCCGATGATTGGCGCACCCAGCTGCTCGTACAGCGGCCACTGGAAGGGGGAAAGGAGCGGGGTGGGGCATGGGGACAGGACATGGGGATAGGCATGTGGATAGGCATGTGGATAAGCATGGGGATAGGCATGTGGATAAGCATGGGGATAGGCATGGGGATAGGCATGTGGATACGCATGGGGACAGACATGGGGATAGGCATGGGGACAGACATGTGGATAGGCATGTGGATAGGCATGGGGATAGGCATGGGTATAGGCATGGAGATAGGCACGTGGATAGGCATGGGGACAGGCATGGGGATAGGCATGTGGATAGGCATGGGGATAGGCATGGGGATAGGCATGTGGATAGGCATGGGGACAGACATGGGGATAGGCATGTGGATAGGCATGTGGATAGGCATGGGGATAGGCATGGGGATAGGCATGTGGATAGGCATGGGGACAGACATGGGGATAGGCATGGGGATAGGCATGGGGGATGAGGCATGAGAGTGAGAGTGCTGTGGGTTTAAGCCCTGGGTTTGCGGCCGTGGTTTTAGGGCCGTGGGTTTAGGGCCATGGGTTTAGGGCCGTGGGTTTAGGGCCGTGGGTTTGCGGCCGTGGGTTTAGGGTCATGGGTTCAGGGCCATGGGTTTAGGGCCGTGGGTTTAGGGCCGTGGGTTTGCGGCCGTGGGTTTAGGGTCATGGGTTCAGGGCCATGGGTTTAGGGCCGTGGGTTTAGAGTCGTTGGTTTAGGGTGTGGACTATGGGCGCTGTGAGCAGACTCAAACTGCTTACTCTTGGGCTCTTCGTGTCATTCCCACCCTCCCTTCCCCCACAACACACCTGGCCCTCACATATGAGCCAGGGGACGTGCCGGAGAGGCGAGGGCATGAGCGACACACCAACGAGACTACCTGACCTCTCCCCCTTGATCCCTCCCCACTTACCTAATTCCCACTCCTCTTCCCCCATTCCTTCCTCCCCCACGCACCTGGCCCTCGCGTATGAGCCAGGGAACGTCCCGTAGAGGCGAGGGCATGAGCGGCAGGGCGACGAGGAAGAGCGGGAGAAGCTCGATCATGAAGTGGTAGAAGTTGGCTGCGGGCACCGTCGCCCAGTTGAACGCCGCTCCTGAGAGGTGCTGCACCCTGTGCTCCGGACTGTAGTTGGCCTTCCAGGTGGAGGGGAACAGTAGGGGAGAACAAGGAGGAGATGTTTGGGGCAGTGGATTGAATTGAAGTAGGCGGGTGAAAGGGTTTAGGGTTTAGGATTTACTTCTTCACATCCCTTCTCTGCCCTCACCCTCTCCTCCCCTCTCCCCTTGCTCCCTGTTCTGTTCCATTCCCCACCCCTCCCACTCCCCCTCCCACTCCCCCTCCCACTCCCCCTCCCCCACGCCCCTCACCTTGCGCCACCAGCGGCGGCACCCGTTCTTCACAAGCACGTGCGAGCGGTTCACCACAAGCCCATCGAACGTCACATACACGCCCTCCACCCGGAACAGCTGCAGAGCTGACGCCTCGTGCGGGGTGAAGTCCTGCCTGTGCGAGCACGTCTCGTTGTAATCCGTCAATCCCCTCGCCTTCCCTCCCCTGGCCGCTGCTGCTCCCTTGGGTCGACTCTTGAGGGGGCAGTTGACTGGCGGGGGTATATCCTTTTCTGCCTCATCCACCAGGTGTTCGTTCCAGCACGCCTGAATATTTGGGAATTCACCTGAGCAGGGTCCGAATGAGGGACAGGGGGGTCCGTGGCAGGCCAGCTTCACAAGAGAGCTTGCATCGTCGGAGGCACCTGAGGGGCCACCTGAGGGACCACCTGAGGCGCCGCCATGCCTGGCCAGGTGCCTGAACGGGTCGAAGGATTTGGGGTTTGGCGCTTGCAAACGGTCATAATAACCCATCATGATGTTGGGCAGTAGGGCCGTGTCCAGGGGGAATCCCAGGGGGCGGATGGGCAACCCTGCACGCTCGGGATGAGACCTGCAGGGGATGGAATGGTGATGGGGATGGGGATGGGGATGGGGATGGGGATGGGGATGGGGATGGGGGTGGGAATGGGGATGGGGATGGGGATGGGGATGGGGATGGGGATGGGGGTGGGGATAGGGATGGGGATGGGGACGGGGATGGGGATGGGGATAGGGATGGGGATGGGGATGGGGATGGGGATGGGGATGGGGACAGGGATGGGGATAGGGATGGGGACGGGGACGGGGACGGGGATGGGGATGGGGATGGGGATGGGGATGGGGATGGGGATGGGGATGGGAATGGAGGGAGCGAGCGAGGGAGGGAGGGAGGGAGGGAGGGAGGGAGGGAGGGAGGGAGGGAGGGAGGGAGGGAGGGAGGGAGGGAGGGAGGGAGGGAGGGAGGGAAGGAGGGAGGGGGAGCAGCATGTGGAACTGACCCACGTGGCACGTGGGACTGGCCTACGTGGCGTGTGCACGGACCTGAATTTGTCTTTCACGTGATATCCCAGCTCGCCTTCAAACTCCTCCACCCTGCCCACCAGATTCCGCTGCTCCGCCTGCTGCCTCCTGGCGCCTGGTGCGACCAGGGACGGGGGGACGGCGGGTGCGTGGAAAGGGGGGAAGAAATGGGAGCATCGAGGGGGAAATGGGGGGAATGGGCGGGATGAGAGGGGAGGGGGGTGGGGGGGAATGTGGGAAACGGGGAGCATAAGATCACACAATCTGAGGGGTTTGCAGTGGCGGATGCGAGTAGGTGAGGCGAGGAGCGAAGCAGTGGTAGAGGTATCTTGGGAGTGGTTATGGGAAGGAGGGGGAGTGGAGGTGAGGAGGAGTGAATGGAGAGGGAGACGGAAGAGAGAGAGGGGCGTTAATGACTAACACGCTAGTGACCGTGACCTAGAATTCGACAAGCTGAGCCGTTCAACATTCCAGGAGCGACATTCCATAAAAGCCTGGACCAATGCAGGTGGGATCGAGTAAAAACTTATGCAGTAACGGGTCAGTAACGCTGGCAGCATATCTCCGCTATTGTTGATTGGCAGAGCCTTTGCCATTGTGCTGACAAAACCAGCTCTGTTGAATATTCGGCACTCCAGTCCTCTCTGCCTGTCGCCTCCCTGCTAAACCACACTGGCAATCCTGGTGCTCCTTTCCCAACAGTCGTCATTCTTTTCACCAAGCTCTCCGCGTGATTGCGTTGCGTCACTTTCGACTTCTTAAAAGTTCTTGCAGACGAAAGCTAACAACTTGCAGTGCGCTCGACCGGATAGTTCAATTCGAATCGACCCTTATTCTGCGACGCGTCTCAGCACCCGATCCGTTGCTTCCGTACTTGGCTGGTCGCTGGCGATCGACGCGGTGACGACGAGAAACGTCAAGGAGGTAGACGCAGCAAGCAGCAGCAGCTGCCTTCCGTCAACCGCGCCACGACCGTGACTCTCCATGGCATCGAGTCAAGCCCGTGTTAGGAGAGCTGGAAAACAGGCGCTTCGGTGGTAAAACAACTCTGAAAAAGACACAACGGCCCCGTTCGCCACGCCCAACAATCCCCTCGTTCCCTTTTTCTGATCCCGTCACGAAATTCCCATTTGAGAGGGAGCCTCTGGACGTAACTAGTAGCGCCTTCGTCCGACGTTTCATGATCCACTCGGCCATCCCACCCATGCCCCTCCCTTTCAAGGGGTCTTGGGCAATGTTCGGCTGCCACAGGGGATGGGGGGAGGGGATGGGATGGAGCATCAGAACGCCGAGCCTCCTGGTTCGATCTGTTCGAACCAGGCAGAACACTTAGGTCAGACATGAAAATTGTGAAACAAGACTCGACGTTAACGTCGGACGGGTTGCGTAGATGTTACATTCCTAATTGACAAAAAAAAAAAAGAGGAAGTGCAGTTTTGTTTTCTTATTTGGCTCCAAATTTAGGTCTACCGTATTAAAGTATACGGCAAGTGCTTCTTGATGGTGGAATGTATTAGTTTCAATCTGGATGTTTATGATTTTTAAACATTGAGACACATTGATCGTTTTTTTTATGTAGTGAACAAAGATGATACTTTCGATTGGACCATTGCACTATTTTTAATGAGTTGTTTCAGCCCAGTCAGTGTCGCGTGAATGTGCGTGTGTTTTCACGTGACAATCCCACCCACCTGTTGCCTCTCCCTCCCACCCACCCACCTCGTCATAGCACCCACCACCTCCACCCAACCATCCTTTCTTTCCCACCGCGCCGTCCTCTCTCCCTCCCACCCGCCCTCGCCTCTCCTTTCTACCCGCCGTCGCCGCTCCCTCCTCCCACCGTCGCCGCTCCCTCCCACCCCGCCGTTGCCTCTCCCTCCGCCGTCGCCTCACCCTCCGCCGTCGCATCTCCCTCCGCCGTCGCCTCTCCCTCCGCCGTCGCCTCTCCCTCCGCCGTCACCTCTCCCTCCGCCGTCGCCTCTCCCTCTGCCGTCGCCTCTCCCTCCGCCGTCGCCTCTCCCTCTGCCGTCGCCTCTCCCTCCGCCGTCGCCTCTCCCTCCGCCGTCACCTCTCCCTCCGCCGTCGCCTCTCCCTCCGCCGTCGCCTCTCCCTCCGCCGTCGCCTCTCCCTCCCCATAGTCTCCTCCCTCCCCGTCCCGTCGCCTCCGCTCCTTCCCATCCCGTCGCCTCCGCTCCCTCCCATCCCGTCGCCTCCGCTCCCTCCCATCGCCTCGCCTCCGCTCCCTCCCATACCGTCGTCGTCCCCTCCCACCCCGCCGTTGCCTCTCTCACCTACCCTGCCGTCGCCACTCCCTACCCTCCCGCCGCCGTCTCTCCCTTCCATTCCGCCTCTCCTCGCCCTCATCCCCGACGCGCCACTCCCTCCCGTCCCGCCGTGGGGCGGTTTGAGAGCATGGATAAGGATGGTGAGAGAACGAGAGCTGGTGCGCTAGCGCGGGTTGGTCTTCGAGGCACCGTCATTAGCAGGTGCGTTTATTCCTCCCACCCCTCAGATATTCCATTGTTTCCTACCTTATTTGTAGTTTCTGCGTTTAGACTTGCCTCGTCTTGCGTTGCACTACCAATTGAAGAGGGGGAGAGAGGGAGTGCGAGGGAGAGCGTTCGCACAGGATCGAGCACGCAGGGAGTGCGTGTGAGACAGCGTATGTTGAGAGAGAATGAAGAGCTGGAGGGAGCACGAAGCGCGTGTGGAAGAGAGAGGCGGTAGAGAGAGTGTGTGCGCGCTTGCGCCGTTGGCGTGGGTGCCGCGGGCGCTTGCGCCTAATCCGCTTGCGCTTATGTCGCTTGCGATTAGGGCTCTGCACTGGTGCGCTTGTGGTTAGGGCGTGAGTGTGTGTGAGTGGTTGCAAGAGTGAGTCGAGAGTGTGCGAGAGGGTGAGTGCGGGTGTGAATCTAGGTGCTTGTGTGGGTGTGAGTGCGAAAGTGAGATGCGCGTGCAGTTGTGGGCAAGGGCGAGTGCGAGGTTGAATTAGAGAGCAAGCGCATGAGTGAGTGCGAGAGTAGTGAGAAGGTGAGTGAGAAAGCAAGTTTGAGAGTGAGTGCAAGTGTGAGTGTGAGGGCGAGTTTGAGGGTGAGTGTGAGCGTGAGAGTGTGTGTGTGTGTGTGCGCGCGTGTGTGTGAGGCTGAGTGCAAAGGAAAACGAGGGTGCGTTCGAGTGTGTGTGAGGGTGAGTGCGAGGACATATGCAAGGGTGTGTATGTTTTTATGATTGTCAAAGAAGAGTTGAGAGTATATTTGTGTGCGTGAAGAGTGAGTGCGAGAGTGTGAGGCTGAGTGAGTGAGTTGAGTGAGTGTGGCTGCAATGTTGAGTGCAAGGGTCATCACGGTGTGAGTGTAAGAGTGAGTGCGAGGGTGAGTACGAGTATGTGCAAGAGAAAGTGGGAGATAGAGGGCGAGTAGGACTGCAAGAAGGAGTGCGAGCCTGAGTGTGGGCGTGGCTGTAGGTGCAAGTGTGGGTGTGTGTGCGAGTTGGGTTCGAGTGTGCGTGCGGCTATATGTGCGTGTGCGTGTTCGAGTGAGTGCAAGGGTAAGCGCGAGCGCGAGTCCGAAGGTGAGTGTGAGGGTTATGTGTGTGTTTCTGTGAGTGTGTCTCAGTACGGTTAAAAGTACTTGTATGTTCGTGAGTGGTTGCGAACGTGAGTGTGAGAGAGTGTGAGAGAATGAGCGCGGGTGTGAGTGCGAGTGAGTGCACGCATGCACTTGAGGGTGCATGCAAGTGTGTGTACGAGGGTGAATGCGAGAGGAAGTGCGAGCGTGAGTGCGAGAGTGAATGTGAAGGTGAGTGCAAGGGTCAGTGCAAGAGCAAGTGTTAGAGTGAGTGTGAGTATGAGTGTGAGTGCAAGTGAGTGTGCAAGAGTGAGTGCAAGGGTGAGTGCGAGGGTGCAGGTGTGAGCGCAATGGTAAGTGCGAGGGTGAGAGCGAGGGTACGTGCGAACATGAGTGCGAAAATGAGTTTGAGGGTGAGTGCGAGGGTGCGTGCAAGGGTGTGTGCGAGTGTGCGTGCTAGTGCATGCGCGCTTTTTGAATGAGTGTGAGAGTGCAGGGAGTGTGTGTGTCTGTGGGCGTGTCTAGCAAAAGTTGGGAGCGATAGTGTGTGCGTGAGTGAGTTGGAAAGTGAGTGCGAGAGTGAGGTGCGAAGATGAGTGTCAGGGTGAAGGCGAGGGTGGCTGCGAGGGTGGCTGCGAGGGTGGCTGCGAGGGTGGCTGCGAGGGTGGCTGCGAGGGTGGCTGCGAGGGTGGCTGCGAGGGTGGCTGCGAGGGTGGCTGCGAGGGTGGCTGCGAGGTATTGCGGGCATGCTGGCATGGTATGTGTGACGATACGATATCTTATACCGAATCACCTTCGTGAGATGTCAAATTTGATTGTTTTCGTCCCTCATCTGTATTTTGTGTACTTCATTCTTCATCAGCGTATTGTTATAACTCTTACCTCGTTTCTTGTGCTCGGGTGGGCTGCATTCCTGTGATTTGTTTCCTGTGCTGTGCAGCTCATGCAAGTTGTATTCTCTTTTGTTTTTGTTTGTGCAGGAAGTGTTAGCTGCATTATCTGTTTTTGCTTTCTTGCCCAGGGAATGTGAGTTGCATGCGCTGTTTGTGCTTTCTTGGGCAGGGGGTTCAAGCTGCACTATTTGGTTTTTCTTGTGGAGAAAGGGGAGGGGTTGAGAGTGGGTAAACAGATACGGGAGGAATGGGGGATATTGGAAGGGAGGGGGGGGATGGGAGACAAGGGAGGGAGGGAGGGGAATGTGGGACACGTTAACGGTGATTATACATGGTTGAACTCATTCGTTACGCTTGCATTGCATGTTCAATAGCGGTAGTATGCCTTTGTGTTGTTTGCGTGTGGGTGTAGGTGTGTGAGCGAGCCTGTATGTGTCTGTCTGTACATGTTGGTGTTGTTTGTGTTTGTTTCGGGATTTGGTGTTGAGTGCCTTGTGTATGCAACTGGGGTTGTGATCGTCGGCGGGGCAGCTATGCTCGCCCCTTCCGCACCATATCAACCTCTGTTGCGACATCGATGCAATCGGCATTAGCCTTGAAGCATTCACAACTGTTAAATGTCCAAATTTGTGTGCTGTCGTTTGTGCCTGTTTCGGGGTTTGGTGTTGAGTGCCTTGTGTATGCGATTGGGGATGTGATCGTCGGTGGGGCAGCTTTGCTCGCCCTTTCCGCACCATATCAACCCCTGTTGCATCATCGATGCATTTAGCAATAGCCTTGAAGCGTTCTTGAATGTCCAACGTTTTTTAGCAAGTTCGTGTGTACTTTCATATCTTCATGTTGTTTTGTTTGTTTGTTGTTTTTTTCTTTTTGTGAAATTCACATATGGTATCGTCGTTCGTGAGGAGAGATTGTCCAATTATTACATTCGCCGTACTTATCGACGACTATGGATGATTGGACACATTCGGTTTCACTTGTACGGTAACTTACGTGAACAGTGATTCCTTCCAAAATCGATGGGGGGAAGTCACTGTTCACGCGAGTCAACCGAAAAGTGAAAACGAATGTATAAGGTTGCTACGCAACCCAAAAAGTGTCGGGCGTGAGCCTAAAACGCGACGCGAACCCCGCGCTAGGCTTGAACCCGCGCCGCGTCATCCCCCCGATTCCCCCCCATGGCGGAAAAACTCCGCCCTAGTGTTCAGGGCATGGAAAGTGCATTCCCGTGGGTGGTCTCAGCCCACGGGGAATGAAAAATCCATGCCCCCTTCCACAATTTTCGTTTATACATTTACTCCACACTCTAAAAAACAAATAACCCGGGCATTAAAGCTATAATGCTAAACACAAAGATTCGAAATGAACTCGCCAAAATTAAATAAGGTCGAATCGTCATTTACGCCCTTGAATTAGTTTATGGTGTACAGAATTCAAGTAGAGAAAGCTACCCAAACAAATCGCAGCAGTAAACTGCTCAGCTCGCGAACATTCGTTTCGCACGGCTGCAGATTCGTGGGCCCCCATTTCCCGAGTCGCTCCTCCGCGCCTTTTCCCCCAAACTTTCCGCTTCCGCCTGGACTCCAGACTTGGAGTCAACGACGGTTGACTCCGAGCTGACCACCCCGAACTAGAAACCCTAGCTGCAAATCTGATCCCTCCCCCCATCCCTCGGTCGATGCCCTGTGGCAGCCGAACTCGCCTTGGTGAACGGGGCCAATGGGTTGAAACAAAACGACAGCCACACGATGGGTTATAAAACCACCTGACCTGACCCCCTTAAAGCCGGCGGCCCAAATTGTTCATGCTTTTAAGAGTTGACCGGAGGGAGTTTTTCTGGTGTGGGCTTTGGCGAGAGTTTCCGATTTCGTCTAGGTTCGTTTTCTTCGCGAGACCCAGCCAACCCTCGGTTTTCCCCCTGGTGGGTGAATCTGTCTTCGAAAGTCCCAAATTGCAAGTGCGTGACTTTCAAAAGCTTGGACACTCAACTTCGTCAAGTTTTAAAAACTTGACCCTCGCGGCCCGCAATTTGGGACGCGGGTTTTAAGGATTTCCGATGGTTGAACCACCTGGCTCCCCTTGGTTAGGACGCGTCCCCTCCGGCTCGAACGTGCAAAAACCGATCTTTGACCGCACCAAAAACCCGTGTAATGCATTCAAAGCTTCTAGACGGTTTTTGAACCACGTGAAAAATTGACCTACGTAGGATCGATCGCAGGATTGGCCTTCAGGTGCGCGTCTTAGGTTGCGTATTTAAAGGTGTTCAAAGTACACCACCCGCTCGACGTCGAGGAACGTCGGTGAATTTCGACCGTCGGATAAATGATTCCAACCGTCAGGATTCACCGATGTCCCTCGACGTCGAGATTTTGCAGCACTTTGTACACGCCTTAGGTCCCCTTGGGAACACCGACGGCGACTGACAGTGTACTGCCAGGCCAACTGTTACTCAGGTCGGCTTGTCGATTGGTCTGGGGCAGGGTTGTCACTGCAAGGAAAAATGACTCTTGATTCTCGAAGGATCGACTGGACTTGGGAGCGAAACGGTGCGGCAAAAGCCCGTGGGGGACTCAGTACAGTACAGTATCCTGTCCAGTAGGAAATGGCAACCATTGCGTGAACGACAACATCCCCCAAAAAATGTGCTACATATGCAAGATAAAATAACCATGTACATTATCTGGAGTTCAGTGATGAAAGTTGTATGCTGTACATTTTAGATTATAATTATGTACTCATTGATGTACCCTAAACCATCAACACTTTCTGTATGAAATCAAGCACGATATGAAACAAAGCGCGATGCATTTACAAGTTGATGTAAGAAAAAAGGTAGAGTGCTAAATAATCCAACACATTTCCGTGGTCAAATTCAAGTAGCAGCATAGGGGAATGTGCAACATGACTTTTGCGATGGGCTCTCATAGCTGGAGTTGCGGGACGAGAACCACTGCTGCTGAGGTAGCAACACACGCCTACCAGAAAGCCATAATGTTATATCTCCCATGCCTATCCAATAGCTACCACCACTACTGCGACCACTGCCACCATTCTCATTTCATCACGTCCCCCCATGTCCCCGTTGTCTCTTCAGTCTCCCTTCCTTCAACACAATCATCTCCATCACTGCATGCCATCGCAAGTGCCATCGCGATTGCCACCGCTATTACCACCGTTATTGCCATTGCTATTGCCCATCTCCCTCCTCCCCATTTCCCACTTTATTCCCCTCTTGACACCCATCTCCACGCTATCCCCACCCTCTTCATTAAGCCCATCCCCCATTCCCCCCTCCACTCTCCCCCTCCAAGGTCAACTTTGAAGTCAGAGGTGCCCCAGCCCCAGTTGCTCCATTCAGTTTGCGGTTGCCCCGCTACATACTGCACTGCCGTCCACGCGTTGTCCTCCTCGTCCATCCCTGCCGCCCTTCTACTCCTCCCAACACTCTGCTAACTCCCAACATGACCCCCATCCCCCCCGTTGTCCCCATTTCCGCCGTCATCCCCATTTCCTCCGTCCCCATCCCCCCCATTTCCCCCATCCCCCCCATCCCCGCCGTTCCCCCCTTCCTCCCCCCCATTCAGATCCACTTTGAACACGTAGGTAGCCCAGTTGCTCCACTCACTCCTGGGCTCACCAGCCACATACTGCACTGCCGCCCACGCGTTGCCCTCCTCATCCACCGTTGCCGCCATGTAGTCACCGTACCGATGCTCCGTTGCGCCCTCGCGGTAGCCTGGAGGGGGGAGATCGAGAGAGGGGCGCAGGTGTGTGTGGGAGGAGAGGGTGAGGGTGGCCCTTGGTCCAACTCGGTCGTTTGCCCCCTCGTCCACAGCTGCCGCCATATAGTCGCCGAACCGATGCTACCCTCCCCTGACCTCTCTCTCCCCCCCCTGACCTCTCTCTCCTCCCCCTGACCTCTCTCTCCCAGTATCCTGGTGAGGAGAAAGGTGCGTGGCATGTGGGGCATGTGGGGCATGTGGGGCAGTCCCAAGTAAACCCTTTTAGTCGTCGAGAGGAGCCTTTCCCACGCCAGCAACAACCACACGGTGAATTATGAGTCAACTCAAACATCTCCAAGCAGAGGACGAAGCAGCAGACTCACCCGTGTAGTCGTCGAGAGGAGCCTTTCCCGGGCCAGCAACAACCACGCGGCCGATATCCACATTGGCGTTGAGAGTGGCATAGGCAGCTGAGGGGTACAACGAACGCCCTGCCAGCGACGCTGCTATGATGCCCACGCCGTGCCTGGGGAGGTGCGTGAAGGGGTGGCAAAGGGTGAGAGAGGTGAAGAGAGATGGGGGGTTTAGGATGACGTGCAGAGCAGATTTGACTCTTTTCTCTCGCCGACAGAAGGAAGTGCAGGGGGATGATGCTATGTTGCTTTGTGAGTGCATTTTGAACACCCACTAACACCCACTTATGAAGGAAAGAGTGTTATGTTACCAACATCCTCATCCTGAGAAAAATGTTGATCTCCCCTCTCAATCACTCCTTCCACCTCTCCTTCCCCCTCCTCTTGGCCATCCATCCTCATCTCTCCCACCTATTGAGAGCAATGGTCGGCTGAATGAGGCTGTTCCCCCCTCCCACCCCCACCGCTTTGAACCGCTCCAGAAACACCCGAAACGGCCGCCACTTGCGCTGGGGCCTGAGGGACAAGCGGAGCCTCACGACCGCAGCAGAAGCACTCATGTCCTTGCCAAAAGCGGACATAAAACCCAACCACATCTGCCTCTTCCCAGGAAACACCACCACTCCTCTCGCATCTGTAAACGAAGGGCCGATGGGTTTGATTGTTTGGTTCATCTTCCAAGCAAGAGGAACTGGCCCAGGTTTCTGCTCCACAGGAAACGGATTAAAGAACGGGGGAGTGTTGACAGCAGCACAGTGCGGCTCAACCAAACTCTCAGCTTCAGGGGTTCCCAGGGCGCTTGTCCCCGTTATAGCAAAGGCTCCAACTGTGCTATAGTTGGCGACGAGCACGGTTTCGTTTGGAGCGCCAGGGTTGGGGTTAACTCCCGTCCATCCAAAGTACATGGTGCCACCATGGCTGTAATCATAGTCCCCATCAGCAGCGACCTTCTGAGGGTAGATTGTGTAGGCTGGATTGCTGAGGGTCTCTGTGTAAGGTACGGCGAGGCGGAGAATGGTGGCGTTTTCAGGCGTTTGGAGCTGGGACTTGGAAATTGCACTGGCAGGGGAGAGGAGAGGGGGAGGGAAGGTGCAGGAAGGGGGTGAGGGAGGAGCAGGAACAGGAGAAGAAGGAGAAGATGAGGGGCAAGTTCCCACCATGGCCGAATGGATGAGTCCCCACATGGTGAGGTGCATGTGTGCGTGCATGAGTCAGGCATGGATGGAACTTGGTTGGAAGTGTTACGACGATAGTAGGCATAAGCAATGAATTATATTTCTTGCAAGAAGGGGGCCGACAATGAATTTCTCCCTTGCAAATACCTGTTGTATGTAAGGTTTCATGATAGAAAATGCACTCACTAGATGCCCGCCCCGTAATATTGGTCAAATGTCTCCGAAAAATGGTTTATTGATGCGTAAAATCCTGGTGAGGAGGAAAGAGGGGTGCAGGCAGTGGGGGAGAGAGCAAAGATAGCTTCAGAAGGGGACCAAGACCAAGATGAGACGATTTTGAGTCGACTCAAAAATCGTCTCATCACACGTGGATAGCTTCAGCAGGAGACCCACGACCAAGATCTGCATCCTTTGATTGGCTGCAACGGAACCATGTAAGAACTTGAGCTAGAATTTATTAATGCAATCATGGATCATAACTTCTTAATAGCATCAACGTTGAAGTTATATGGGTGGGAATGGGAACATTAACGGGTGCAATCCTGAGTAAGATCGGCCTTTTATTACTAGCTGGTATTCAAGAAAAAAACAAATGGGTTTTCACAGAATGCTGAGGTTGGGAACTCGTGTACACCAACCCAAGAATTGGACACAGAACTTGGAACTTCAAACACATGATTGCAACTTTTGAGACGCCTCAAAGGCTCTCAGAAATTAGCACACATACCATAGGCATCGGTACCGATCTGAGGGTAGTCCACTGATGGGGGAGGAAAGCAAAAGGGAGGGAGGGGGAGAAGGGCACGATGGGCGAGGGGTGGGGGGTCAAGACTGACAGCAAGAGGGGAAAACTAAAGGAGTTGGGGTGGGGGAGGGGGTAGGTAGGGCACGAGGGGAGAAGGTGCCGATTCAATTAGATAAGTGACAGCACAGATGCGCAACAACAGAACGACGCAAAGTGACAGGGCTAGGATGAGATGAGACAACGTTATTTCTGATCGGAAGGGCCGGCCACACGCACTCAATCCATCACCCGTACCATCACACACACCATTGTATGCGCCTTCATCCAACGTACAGAAAGTGGTGAGTCGAGACGTGTTGTAGTGAAGAGGGGCCCTCCAGTCCGGATTGGAATTGATACCATCGTTGCTGGGAGGGGGGAAAAGGGAAAAGTGGGGGGGGGGAGAAGGGGGTTGAGGGAGGATACAGTGCTCCGTGAAGCCTGGAAGTGAAGAGCGGCCCTCCAGTCCGCATTGGAGTTGATGATGCCATGGTTTCTGGGAGGAGGGAGAGGAGGGGGGGAAGGACGGAGAGGGGTTTGAGGGAGGAAACATTTGCTCCCTAAAGTGAAGAGGGGCCCTCCAGTCCGGATTGGAATTGATACCATCGTTGCTGGGAGGAGGGGATTGGGGAGAAGGAGGAAACAGTGGGAAGGAGAGAGAGGAAACAGTGGGAAGGAGGAGGGTGGGGAGTTGGGGAGCAAGGAGAGCAGGACAGAGCACGGAATCCAACAAGTGTGAGATGGGGCTGCTGTTGTTGTTGTTGCTGGAAGACACATGCTGAGAGCAGTGGACAAAAGTGAGAACTGGTAAGGAGAAGTGAGAAAAGGGTGAGAAGCAGTGAGAAACGGCGAGACTAGAAGACACAGTGCATACAGCTGAGGAAAGGTGAGGGAAACGGGTGAGGGAAATGGGTGAGGAAGCAGGAGAAAAAGGAGGCGAGAGCGTACGAGCCAGGAATGAAGTAGACGTTCCATGGCTGCGTGGGGTCGTCTGTGGTTGATGCCGCCACTATCAGCCCTCCCCCGACTGTGATGTTGCCTCGCCTCCTCGTCTGCCCAAACTTGTCATACGTGTTGTTGGATTTCCCAGACTGCACGTGGGGAGATATGGGAATGGGATGGAGGGAGGGTGTAGAGAGAGTGTGTAATCAGAGGGACGACAACAAGAAAAACGAGTGCGTGGAAATCGAGGGCGAGGAGGCAAGAGGGAGGAAAGCGAGGTGGAGGAGAATGAGAGGTGGAAATACGAGAGGAAAACGAGGGGGAGGAAATGAGAGATAAAATACGAGAGGAAAACGAGAGGGAAGAAAATGAGAGGGTGAAAAATTGGAGAGGAAGATGATAGAGAGAGGAAGATGAGAGAGAGAGGAAAACGGGAGGTAGGAAAACGAGAGGGCAAAAGGAGGGGGATAGTGGCATTGCGGGAGGGGCACTACAGGAGGGGGGGAAATGGCTTGGCAGATCCGCCCAGTAGGTGGATAAGGAAGCAACTTATTGAGGCGTGGAAAAGGTAAATGGCTCAGCGCACAGCGCACAGACCAGTAGGTGGAAAGGTAGAAGCGCTTGGCCTGCCTGGGGGTCATATGTGCATGTCATTTCATGTCATGTCATGTCACCAATACCGGCTCCAAATACTGCCGATGCGCTGGCTTCATCCAGCACCCAGCAGCACCACACACTCTAGTGCACCCCCACCACGACTCACAGTCCAGTAGGTGGAGAGGTAGAAGCGCCTGGCCTGGCGGTCATACGTGCATGTCATGTCGCCAATATTGTCTCCAAATACTGATGTGTTGAACGGGTCTCTCTTTTCCACCACCCATGGCAGCATGCCAAAGAACTGGAATGAGGATAGGATTGTGGAAGGCGGGCGGGAGGCAGGAGGGTGACATTTGAGTGGACTCAAGAGAATGCTGATGTGTTTATCGGGTCCCTCATCTCCTCTCCGCCACAGCATGCCAACAAACTGCGATGAGGGTTGGGGAAGCAGGACGGTTGGTGGGATGGTGCTGGTTTGTACGACGACGACCATCGATGAAGACCACTCTTGGCAGCACACTAAGAAAGCGAGACCAAGGTGTGGAGGGAGGTGCGGGAGCGGGGCGGAGAGGCAGAGCGATCATGATTGCGTTGCGTGAGCACTTGCCTCGTTGGTTGTGATGATGCGAGTGAGCTGCTTCCCCTGCTTGTTGTCGTACACAGCCATCGCTGCCACGCAGGAGAAGCGGAGGGAAGGGGGGGAGAGAAGGAGTGGTTAGGGGAGGTGAAAATGGGTAGAAAGGGATTATGCGAGTGAGCTGCTTCCCCTGCTTTTCGTACACAGCCATCGCTCCCCAGCAGGAGAAGAGGAGGGAAGGGGGGCCGAGAGAGAGAGAGGGTGGGGGAGGCGAAAATGGTCAAAAGGAATCGAGTGAGAAGAGGGAGGAGATGCGAGTAAGCTGCTTCCCCTGCTTGTCGTACACAACCATCGCTGCGACGCGGGAGAAGCGGAGGGGTGGAGGAATGGGTTGGACGGTAGAGGAAGTGCAGAAAAGGAGTGGAGGGAGAAGAGGGAAGGAGCAGCAGTTAGTGAGGGAGAGGAGGAAGGAGGTGCAAGGAAGGCCGCTTACCAATATTGACAGTGTGAAGGACGTAGCCATTGCCGACACAAAGAGCGACATCAGGAGGGGAAACACGGTTCTGAAAAGCAACAAAGGCACCGTTAGTGCAAGGAATGCTAAACAACAACAACGCAAATCAAACAACGACAAAAACAAAAACAAGAAACGTACCACTGTATCGTTGTATTTGGGTGGTGTACCACTGTTCACTAAGGTGTAATGGCTTATACCGGGGAACCCAACCGCCGGTTTCCGCTTCACCACTTGTTTCAGCTCCGTCGAGCGCGCCGAAAATTCCCCCACCTCCGCCAATCGCTGTTCCTGTTTTGCGGAAAGCGGGAAGAAATAAAACTTTGGGAACCTTTCGGCGATTGCGGGAAACGTGTGGCTCGATGAGCATAGCGCATCACATCAGTGCCCGGGTAGTACTTGGCATGAGCCTTGGAAAACCTTTTTAATTTTGACCGCTGTACTGGGTGTCGCGCAAGGCCTACGCGGGGGGGAGCGCAACGGGCCCGGGGAGTGAACCGCGGCACACAGACTCAGACTCGAGCCTACCATCTGTTGCTCGAGAGGATCCACAGCGGGAGCCGGCGCGCTCGCAGGCGCAGCGGCGGGCGCAGATGCAGCGGCGGCCGCCTCCGAGGCGGAGCTTGCTGCTCCCGCCAGAGCCTCGCGCGTCTTCTCATTGAGTCCGCCGCCGCGAATCCGCGCAAGCAGCTCCTCCTTCAACGATTCCGAGTCGGGCGAGTCAGATGCGCGATAATCGACGGCGTTCGTGCCGTGGTTTCCGCTGCTGCTATCTCCGTCGCTGTTCCCACCACCGGCGGTAGCGGAGGCGCCACCGTTACCAGCGTCTTTAAACGGCGGCAGCTGCGCGGTTCCCGCGAACCAGAGGTTCTCCGGCAGCTTAAACACCTCCACGCGGTCTTTCGATCCGCGCATCGGCGCGATCACGACGCGCGACCCCGCATTCGTTCCGCGCGGCGGAGCTAGCAGCAGTAGAAGCGCGAGCAGCAAGGCGGCGTGGAGGTAGCAGCAGATGCGCAGGGAGGCCTGTGGAGAAGCCATTGCGTCGGGAGCAGATCCCACACCCGTTCTATGTTGCTGTTACTTTTGAGAATTCTCAAAAGCGTACTATGATAGTGACAGGACCTCACTCCCCAGTGAGCACACCAGAAGAGTGTGCTCTTGATAATAAGCGGTTTGGCACTGGCCTACTGGGGCTGATCAGAATCGCAAGCGCAACCTGCTTTCCGTACGAGGGGCTCATGGGTGACCCGGAGCTGCAGTTCCCGAGAAAAGCCTTGACTTTCCAGGGAAAGTGTGTCATTACAATGGCCTAAAATCAAGTGACGCAGTGAAGTTTATCAGGGATCCTAGACTCTGCATTTGTTTTCCCTCCTGGCAATTCCATCTGGTTTCCCATCCCACCTTGGTGGCTAAAGCTGACCGGAAACGAGTGTTCAAACCAGGGCACGGCATCCATGAGCTGCAAGATCTTGCTCAATAGGAACGCCATGCGCAAGCAATCGGGTTGGGGTCGGATCGGAAGGGGTGCTCCTTTGTGCCGCCATGCGCCGCCGCCATGCGGCTCGACCATGAGCCGTGAGGAAAATAAGGCTCAGCCCAACTATATACGTAGGTGCTGGTACTAGTTATCATGTTCCCGCCAGCTGAACAGTAATTTCTGTCAAAGCATTGATAGGATAGTACCCCACTAGCCTTTTTGGATTTTCACAGATACTAGTTATATTTTTTTCCAGCATCAGTTCGAGTTCATGTTTCCAAACCAACTCGTTGTACATTAGCTAAAGATTCTCATCTTACTCTGAAACTCAAAGCTCTCCGCCACGGAAGAATCAATATCCTTTGGGCAAAATCCTGCAGTGTTCCATTGTTGTGCTTGTTGGAGAAGGGAGAGTAAACGTCCTAAAGCTCCTCATTCATTTACCATTGCAGCGACTCCACGGACGCATCGGCCTTGCCGTACGCCCGCGGCTGGCGTGGGCTGTCGGCGGGCCAGCAGCGCACGGTTAGCTGCTAGCGCTGGCGGCATGCAGACACGGCTGCTGGGTGCGCTGGCAGTTGCAGTAGAGGCAGCAACGTATGCGATGGCGCGAGGGAGCAGCCCCAGGTACAGCAATAGTGGCGGCACACGCAACGACGACGGCACCAAATGGCGAGCTTGTCAAATGTTGTAGTCTTAGTGATGTGTGTTATACGGGGTACAATTGTTAGGGTTAGGTTTATGTACGCCAACCAACCTTAGTCAAACCAACACTTTCATGCTTGACATGGTATCACGTGTGTTACGATCCCGTGGGATCCCGTTCCTCTCGTTCACGTCCGTAGCGCTCGAGCCTGTCCAGTACCCTAGTGCGCGTTACGCCCCTAACGCCTATCCCGCTCGTCTCTCTCGTGCTCTGGCGCCCGCTGCGCCTACCGTCGCGTCCCCCTGCTGTCGCGTCCCGTCCCGTCGTCCCTGCTGTCCCGTCGCATCGCCCCTTGCTGTCCGGTCGCGCCGCGCCTGTCCCTACTATCCCGTCGCGTCGCGTTGTCATGCCGTGTCGCGCCGTCCGTCCCGTCCCGTCCGCGTCGCGCTTCCCGTCCCGTCCCGTCGCACGCGCCCCGTGCGCCCTGCCCGTCCGTCGCGCCCCGTGCGCCCTGCCCGCCCGTCGCGTCCCCGCTGCGCCCTGCCTGTCCGTCGCGCCCCGTGCGCCTAGCCCGTCCATCGCGCCCCCGCTGCGCCGTGCTCGTCCGTTGCGCCCCCGCTGCGCCCTGCCCGTCAGTCGCGCCCCGTGCGCCCAGCCCGTCCGTGGCGCCCCGTGCGCCCTGCCCGTCCGTCAAGCCCCGTACGCTCTGCCTGTCCACGCCTGTTGCGCCCGTCCCTGCCAGTCGCGTCCTGTCCGTCGCACCGCACTGTCTGTCACGCTCTACGCAACAGCAATTCCCACCCCTTCACTACCGCTATGGCAACCCCTAGGGTTCCGCGCTTTGACGCCGAGGGTAGGCCGCTTGAGTTATCCATCTGGCTCCTGCGTGTGCGCCACCTTTTAGAGAGTCAGGTTCAGGCAGATGAGTCTTTATGGGCGCACGCTTTTAGCGACCTTCCTAAGCCTGACAATCATGCACCCTTAGGCACTAACCCTAGCGATGCAGTCAGAGATTGTTATCCCCGCCAGCGTGTTAACCTCACAGCATGGAAGTCGCGTGACGCTCCAGCCTGCATCCCCCTCAGCAGCCTCCTCCCTGAGTCTGAGGAGGCCCACTTCACTCAGGTTCGCACGGCTAGTGAGCTCCTGACTGCGATCAAGGCCCGCTACACTACTCCCACCACTGTCTCTCTTGGTCGCCTGTTCCTCCCGTTCATGTTTCCTAACCTCGCCTCGTTTAAGCGCTCTGCTGACTTGATCACTCACCTGCGCTCGCTCGATTCCAACTGCTGCGTTGCCTGCACTAACGAACAACTTGCACTGCTCCCTCCCCCTATGACAATTACTATCTATTTCATCGCCACTAGCTTCCCTGACCGCCTTGCCTCGGTTCGTGACGCGCTTCTTCTGAAGCACCCTAGAGAGCTCACTATCGAGGTCCTTGAGTCTGCCCTCAAGGACGTCGAGAGCAACCTCCGCTCGGTTGCCTCCGCCTCCGGTGTTGTCTAGGGGTAGGAGCGGCAGGAGGGGCGGTCAGGGTGCGGGCGGAGGTGGCAGAGGTGGCAGAGGTGGCGGAGGTGGCGAAGGTGGTGTGGCGAGCGGCGGTGGTGGGAGTACAGAGGTTGGAGGAGCGTCTCGTGCAGCGGCTAGTGACTCCCCTGCTACTGTTGTTAGAGTTGATGCTCGGATTCGTCAGGCACCTACTGGTCCACCAGATGCAGATGCTGGAGTGGCGGCTTGGTACCTGACTAAGTGGAAGCAGCAGCAGCAATCACTCCTCTCGCAGCAGCCACAGCAGCAGCAGGCTTTGGGCCAGGGGTCTGGACCGCGTCAGCAGTCGGGTGGTGCCGTCCACTCTCCCTGTGGCCGCACCCACCCACCGGGTCACTGCTTTCCTCAGCTCACTTGCACACTTCGTGCGGCCTACAGGGTTGACGGCCCTGCCCCTGACTGGCTTCCCCATGGAGACATCGTCCAGTTAACTAGATAGCTGCTGTGAGGGTGGCGAAGTACCTAGCGACGATATCAGGCGTGGGGCTGGTTCTTGGAGGGCAGCAGTCTGTTGTATTTACTGGACACTGTGACTCTTCTTACGCTAACAATGCCGAGACTTACAGGTCTACTCAGGGGTACTGCTTTAGCCTGGGCTCTGGAGCTGTTTCGTGGAGGTCCACGCGTTCCTCTTTGGTCTTGACCTCTACCGCTAATGCTGAGATCTACGCTGGAGCCATGGCTGCATAGGAGCTGTGTTTGTTGACCTTCTTGCTCACCGACCTTGGTGAGCGGCCCAGCTCTGCACCGACCTTGTTCACTGACAACAAGGCGTCGATTCTCCTCTATCGAGAGCCGTGACTAGAGAGCAGAGTGAAGCACATCAACGTCAGGTAATTTCTTCTGCGAGAGTTGCAGAGGCGTGGAGAGGCTCGCTTCGACTTTGTGGAGTCCGAGGCCAGCACTGCAGACATCTTCACCAAGGCGCTTCCGCCTTGTGACCACCAGAGGTGTTGTGTGCAGTTTGGTCTCGTTGACACAGGTTCTCGCCTTGCATAGTCTTGAGTTCTCTCCCTACTTTGTTTGTACACTTTACATATACCCCTGTGAACTCTTGAACTAGCCTTGTGGCTCTTTTGCTTGTGCTCGGAGTGTGTGGTGACGTTGTGATCCACCCTGAGCTTTGTTTCTTTATGACTGGTCCTGTGATCGTACACTTTCGGTTTTGCTTGACACCCCTCACTTAGACTATGGGGATGTGTCAAATGTTGTAGTCTTAGTGATGCGTGTTATAGGGGGTACAATTGTTAGGATTAGGTTTAAGTACCCCAACCAACCTTAGTCAAACCAACACTTTCATTCTTGACAGGGCTGCAGCGGCAATGACGTGAGCAGCAGCAGCGGTAGGCGCGGCTAACGGCGGGCGGCAGCGTAGCGGCAAGAGGCGTGGGTGAGGCGGCAAGAGGCGTGGGCGCGACAGCAGCAGACGTGTATGCGGTGGTCGCAAGCGCGGACTCGAGCGTGGATACATAACGGGGGGCGCATAAGGTGGTGGCGCTAGCGTGACGGCAAGCGCGGGTGGGTCAGCGGGCCTAGGGCAAGGCGCAAGGGCTGGGCAGGGCACGATGGGGTCGTTAGGTGGAGCGCAAGCGGTCGCGCTAGGGGACGCGCTAGGGGCGCTAGGAGGGGAGCGCTTGGACACACTAAAGAAGGCCTCACAAAAGGCGCACTTAGGGGCGCACTAAAGGCGCACTTAGGGGCGCACTGACAGAATGAGAAACGAGAATTGAGGAGTGACTAGCAGGAACAACAGTACAAATATGTCAAACCCTAATCTGGTGTACCCCTTATGGTGTAACCCACTACAGCCTAGAACCACACAAACATATAAATGTTTGACACACCCCCATAGGCAAAGTGGGGGAGACCTAGGGGTCACAAGACCAGTCAAGGCAAAACAAGGTAAACAAGCTCAGGGTGGATCTCGAGGATTCCACACAAATTCCGAGCACAAGCAAGCGGTCACAAGACCAGTTCACATGCAGTTTTATAATACAGCAAGAGGTACAATGATCACAACCTAACAAGGCAAACATGCAGGTATATATATAATGATCACAGTACAGGTAAAGTCAAGAAGTAAGTAAGTGAGAAACAGTCGGCACAAGGCCTAGAAGAGTGCAAAAACGCTGATGGTCAACAGGCGGAAGCGCCTTGGTGAACACATCAGCAGTGTTGGCCTCAGTGGCCACGTAACGCAGAAGAAGCTGACCACGCTGCTGTAGCTCTCGAGCTAGA